GAGTAACGTGTAGCGCCTGCTTTACGAGAGGAGGGTAAACAGTCCATGATTAAGCTGAGAGGCGTCTTTGAAGATTCCTTTCGCCCCGCACAGGCAGAATTTCTTATAAATGTCCTCAATGGTGGGCAGATGAGTGCCGATGATCCTTAGGGCAGTGTTCACCTACTTCTGTTCTCTGATGCAGTTGATGTACCACACTGAGTTTCATTTGGTGATGATGCTGTCAGTGTTACAGTGGTAAAAACCCACCAGTATTCTAAATATTGTGTTAACGTTAGTGTTAAATGATCATTCAGTTAGGGTTTTGTTAATTTGGTTCACATACTGTGCTTTTTAAGCATGTTGCATCCTCAGGTGTTTGGCAGCGGAGCCTGGTTTACTGGCAAACAGACAGCGGCCAGTATTTTTTGGCTACTGTCCATTAGGTCCTCAGAAAAGATGTGCGTGTGTGGTGGAATGTTTTCAACTGCTTGTCAGGAAGACAGAGAACAGCTATCAACAGCAAGACTATCAGGGGCTTTTAGAGTCTGCTGAGTGCACCGCTGGGTCCTCTCAAACATTTATTTCTGCTCTCAGCTACTATTACAGTGTCTGGTGATTGGTTTCACCAGCATCATGGAAGATGAATAGATTAACACCTTTATAGAAACCACTCAGTACCTCATTGTGTTCTTAGCAGCTTCTCATCACTCACTCATGTACTCGCTTGCTCGCTTACTTGCTCACTCACTCACTCACTGACCAGTCAGTGGACCCAGAGGTTATTACATAAAGGAGGATTAGGACGTTAACAATATCTTTTATACTGAAATTCAGGAAATCCAGGATTTTTGCTTCTAAGAACGGGGCAAAGAAAAGGCCTTGTTCCAGATGCAGGGTTTACTGGGTCTGTGCCTGGTGCTGTGTACACTATGCCCTGAAACTTATGTGGTATACAACACACAACTTTAGCACCTGGTTTTCAGATAGTAATTGAACCTGAATTGCAAGAGTCAACTGGTCTTACCTGGCTTCTAGGCCCTACCTTTTCATTCCTGAACAGTGAGCTTCTGTACGTGACATCTGACCAATAAAAACATGCTTATTAGTGTTTGTTAGAGATCACATGGTTATTGCCTCTCCTGACTTTTGACCTGACTTTTTTATTTAAAGGTGCATAAACTTAAATTTTAGACAATGTTTGATGCCTGTAAATGACATGAAAATATGAAAGGGCGTGGTGGCTCTCAGCTATGCTACCTGCATCCATGACAGTCTGCTACTTACAGCACTTCTGTTATTCTAGCTTCTCTACTCTGTGTTATCAAGATATGGTCCATAAATTAGCCCTGCCTACCACCTAGTCAAGATTATAAGAAACAGTTTTCAAACCATGAAAAGTCATTTCAAAGACCCAGCCAGGAAGGACCTCTCAGCAGAGAAAAGTCTGAAACAGGCTTTTTCCATCATAGGAACTAGCCAAAATATGTTAAGCCGTGTAACGCTTCTTCTGGGTTTTGTTTGTTTTCCACTGCCGTGCGCCCGCTTTAGAGGTGCATTCTGGGAGCTAAATTTTGGCACCCCTCAGGGGCCAGTACTGAAATCAAGTTCCAGGAGTGTGAGGGGGAGGTGCTGGGTCCTCGCAGATCTGTTGCCCATGATTAGTTAAATGTCAGCATCTTCACACCTCGACTATTGGCATTTAAGCACAATGTGTAAACACACAGGTTTAGAGGTAAAATGAGGTGTAACGCTCGTTAAGTTTCGACATTGGCTACAGTGGCCTTTGCACATGGAGAGTGGGACAAAAAGAGAGCAAACCTAAGCCCACAAGCATCAGACCTAATGCCACTTAACAGTAAAATCTCATTTCTTCCTTACATTTGACAGTTTATCAGTGTATTAACACATAACCTCCTTATACCAGTTCTTCCCTTACCCAACACTTAAATTTCACACTCATCTATTTGCAAGTTGGACAAACATCTAGGATCCACCTATCCATCAGACTTAGGGTTATGATTCCCAGCTTTCCAGACAACCACTATTCATTGCTCTCAAGCTTATTGATCTTACTATACCCATTGCATATTGACCTGTCCACCCACCAGCTCTTACACGAGATATAAAATCACTTTGATGGACTTTACACAACTGTGGGAAATCTTTTAAAAATGATATGTCATGTGTATATATAGTGGTTGATTTCCAAGAAAGAACCCCTGTGATGACTCCAAGTGCTGTACTGTACCTACACTCGCTCATATTCAGCCACCACCCACCCACAGTACAAGCATTTCTCTTTTTATACTTTTCATCCTGTGAGTGTTTATGGCACCATAAAGCTGGCACTGCACTAATGCAGAGACTGAGCCAGTGATGTGTGTCTGGGGATGTCGACCTGGTGGGACAAAGGCAGTGATTTGCTGCGTTTTTAGAGATAAAAGGCTTCTGCCTCCATGTTGCGACATGGGACCATTTCTCTTTTGCCTTCAGAGATTTCATTAAGTATGTTCTTGTGCGTTTCATTTATTTTCAAAGCAAACTCGTTCCTTTATATTTATTCCATGCTTGTGTTCACAGAATTCTGCATTGTCTTTTGTGTTTACTGTGTTAAACCACACACTGTCATCCCAGACATTCTTTTCTCCTCCTCTTTTTTATTTTCCTGTCATCTATGTCTGCTTGCTACAGCTGTTCTGTAGCGATATGTCAAGGTTGTATACTGTATGTGTGTTCCTAGCTCTGCTGGTATACATGAGTGTCTGAGACTGTGGAAGTCTTTTCCCAGCAGGCCAGTTGTGCTTTGCTGCTCTCACGTCAAAGCTTGCTTCTAGCTAAGAATCACATCAGCAGTTTTTACCCAGACAAAGCAGATTTTATACTTTTGTGTTTAGTGTTGTGAACGAAACTTTCATGCTAAACTGAAATAACAAATTATTGAGTATACTATGATTTTGAATACTATAGAGCAGGGGTGTCAAACTCAATCACACAGGGGCCAAAACTCTTTAGGTCGCAGATAAACATTTATTGAACAAACTAAATGTTTTTTGAATATAAATATGAATCGAAACAGACAGGATACAATAATAAAAATATAACTTAAAATATTTTGCTTTCCATAAAAATATCTCCTGTCAAAATTATACAAATTCAAAATATGAACATGCTGCAAAAAAACCTGAATATAAAGATTGTGCTTAAAAGTTAAAATAATAAATTAAAACATTCCATTTTCTTTGCTCTTATGCCATTTTGTCAGAGCTGGATGCTTGGCATCTTTTCTTGGCAACAGGTTCATTTGTGTTTGGGGTAAGGTCCTTGTGGAGATTCTCAGGATGGACTGCAGGTGTTCATCAGTGAGATGACTCCTGTGTGATGTTTTGTTAATCTTCATCACAGAGAACAGCTTCTCACACAGATATGTGCAACCAAACATACACTAGGTCGCTTCATATTGCCTGGCCATTTAAAAAAAAAAAAAGGTATAGAATGATCTCGCGGGCCATATAATTCTACGCCGGTCCGGATGTGGCCCGCGGGCCTTGAGTTTGACACATATGTTATAGAGTCTAAAATTGTATAATATCCATATAATCACTTGTTCTTCATTATCAAACATTTTTTTACTTATTTCTTTCATTGACAAAATATCCCATGTGAACTTTGCCAATAATGTCTTCACTGCCTCAGCAAAGTCATTATGCTGTGCTGTTCTTCTCTTGCTAATGATAGAGCGAGACCTTGTCTTGAGCTGATGAGACAAACACTGAGATCAGCTACTATTCTCGCTGTCAGTCTTGTCTACAACCCAACCACCCTCATGGCTGCCTAACAGAAAACAGGATCAATCAAGCATGTGCTTGATATGTAGTAACATTTTATTGTTAATAAAACAACTTACAGATTTTTGTCAAGTGTATTATGTTGTGTTTGTGTCTCCTTGTGCTCAGGGTATCCTAAGCAAATTGTGTTTTCAGAGAAAAGGTCTTGTTCTGATATAGACTCGCATTATTTCAATATCTGTATTTGTATATGCTACAATTTTACATCCTAACCTAAGCATTGTAAAATGTGCAAGCTGTGTGACACTGAAAGGTTGTTCACTGCATATCTTGCCTAGTGTCTCACTAATGGACATTAGTGGACATTAGTGAGACACTATGATTTTGAATACTATAGAGCAGGGGTGTCAAACTCACACTTTTGATCAGTGTGAAGGGAGAAACGGTACTCAACAAATAATTGTAAACAAAGGGAAATAAGCTTCTGTCTAGTTTGTTTGTGCTATTATTAGATATGCTGTGATTAGATATAGATAATAAATTGCAGACCATTTGTGCATCTTACAGGTTACACTGTAATCTACAGTGTGTGTGTTTATAGGCCTAAGTGCATGTTTGTGCTTTTACATTACGCACAAAAGATTTTTTTAGGCTAACATGTTTGTAAGCATGCAAACCCAATAAATGTTTATTAATGCATGTAAAAAAGAAACTAAAGTATTTATTAATGCCACCTTTTTACAGATTAAAACCAATATAAAGCAATGGTTTCACTTAGTAGTCATAAAACAGGCACTGCATGGGAAGCTCCTGCTTCAACATTAAATACTGGCAATCATATGACCCACAATAGAACATGGGTCACATGACCTGTCTTGTGACAGTACCATAGAATATATACTTACATAACTGCATGGTGTAAAATAGATGCGTAAACTGCAGATATATGAGGTGTGTACTTGGAAATGCAATCATTCAAGTATACTTTATTTTTCAGATACTGTTTATGATCACTCCACTATCAAATGACGAGATTCATTTGAATATTTTAGATAATGCTTCTCATAGTCCTAAGTGTAGAGTTTATCATTAGACCAATGACACAAACTGAAGAACATGACTTCCTTATGCTTTGAGTTTCACCATAGCACTTATTTATTATAGCTGGCTAGACAGGCTGTATATAGTGTACCATCATTTACCAGTATTTCTGTTTGCTTTCTCTCCACATAGGGACCAGTGACCCATATGTGAAGTTTAAGATTGCAGGGAAGGAGGTATTCAGAAGTAAGACCATCTATAAGAACCTCAACCCCGTGTGGGAAGAGAGAGTAAGACTACATGTGGAATCCCTGAGAGACCCTCTGTATGTCAAGGTACACCATATAAGTGCTGAACTTCAAATTGACTGTTAAGTCTCAATAGACGTGAACTATGTCTTGACTGCTACTGTGCTATACTATACATTGTCTTTCTGTAGGTTTTTGATTATGACTTTGGACTTCAGGATGATTTCATGGGCTCAGCATATCTCTACCTGGAGTCACTGGAACACCAGAGGTCTGTCTTTTTTGCATTTTGCCTTTTATATACTACTTCTCTTCGTTCCACCAACACCTTAAACATCTTTTGTCCCACTAAGCTGTCACCTGCACCCTTTGTCTCCAGTGACTGTATTTGAAGTACTGGGTTGGTAGCTGCATTCCCCCAGAAAGTTTAGAGAGGCTCATGTGTCAAGAGGTGGTGAGGTTAAAGGTTAGGGAGTCCTCTCTTCTTAGACTTTACTTTCCCTTTTTCATCAAATATAGTCTGTGGCCTCCATCTAGTGGTTGTTTTTGGTAACTCACATCAAACCTCATGAACCATAACAGGGCTATCTTCAGTTTTGATTAAGAAAAATACCTAAAGAGGAGATGGTTTAATTATCAAAAGTCCATAATTTATGTTAAGTGGAAAAACTGCCATCTGCTAAAGTTAAATCCTTTCATTGACTAATCGCTTTTATGCAGTCATTTAGCAAGAGTCAGCATCACAGTTTTTAGTGGGGGAAAAAAAATCCTTTTTCAGTTTTTGGGGGAATTGCACAATTTGCCCCTCACCGAATAATTTCTGTTAAATCTACACATGCAGAAACTCGGCAATGTTCACGTCGTAGCTGGATACATCTCTTACTAACATGAGTGTGACCCATAAGCTCAAAAAGGTCAGATTTGAAAAAAAAAAAAGATTAGAATTGAGCATTAAGGCCTGTAATGTGAATGTAGCTGGAAAAAAAAAAAATCAGCCATCATTCATTTTGTTTACATTTGTACTTATCCTGGTGTGACATGTCAAAATGTCTTGCAATTAAAGGTCTGTTAAATAATGTTGTAAGTGATGAGCTAACTGAAAACACCTTTGTGAATGTAGCATAGGTGTGTAGAGGCTTTATATTAATGTGAGAACGGTCTGTTTGTTCAGAAAATGTGCTTTCTTTCTGTCAAAACTGTGTAGAATATACTCAACAGTAACTGGTTCACTTCACAAGTGCTCTCCTTAACTTGGGGTGACCAAACATTTCACTACACCAGGTTAGCCACAGAGATACTCTTGTTAATAGTAATTACCTGCGATGGTATTTTATTACTAATTGCCTTTCTTGTGTATAATTCAAGACTATTAGCTAGTTTAAGCTGCTTGTTGTCATTGTAACTCACTGAAAACTGCAAGAATATCAGCTAGAAGGGAGAGAGGAAGGAAGCAGGTTATACAGTAGTAGTCAGTGGGGCAGTTTATTTTAACGCTCCACATCCACTGAGCCAGACTTGATCTATTTAGATGTGTATATTTATTTACAGATGGATGGGCTGTGCATTTAATTTTTTAACCCCTCTTTATTTAGGGGAGGTTCACTGAAAGGCCACCTCACCTGATGGTGTTGATGAGGGAGGAGCAAACTCTTTCTTTTCCACTTGTCCCATGCAAGATTTAATCCTGCCTGTTTGAGGATTAAACCCATAATCTGATTATCAGAAGCTCACTTCTGATGCATGTATTCATTTATACATACATGTGGAATACCTGCACTGTATCCATATAAATTTACAGTATTCATGTAAGGTCTTAAAATGTGAATTTTTACTGTACTTCCCTGTAGGACACTGGATGTGGTGTTGAACCTGAAGGATCCACAGTACCCTGAACATAACCTAGGCACTCTGGACCTTGCTATCACTCTGACACCAAAGGAGGGAGATGTGAGAGATGCAGTAAGAAAACTATATGCATGTTCAGTCAGATTACTCATTCACCTCTCTCTTCTTGTACACACTACAGTATATTTCCTTCCCATTCTGGGGAAATTATTGCTCTGTCTTTGTACGTCATCATTGACATTTCACATTAAGTTAATTTGTCCGATACACTGGAGATAACAATGAAATGGCTGAAGAATTCAGTTAATTACTGCTTGTCAGTAAGAAAGTTGTGATATGAGTAATTAAAGTACAGCAACAGTGTTATTCCATTGACCTGAATCTTTGTTTTTCTGTGTTGAACTGAAATGTGCTGGCTTCATTCAGCCTTAGTTACTGGAATTTCTTCAGCTCATCGAATACACATGAATAAACACAAGTATAATTGACTGTGTTCTGTGGAAAAGCTCCGTGTTCAAAAATGGCATGTATTTTCTTTATTATGTTGGCTCGTGCCTCTGTGGATGTGCTCCATGTTTCAGAATTGCGTTTGTTTCTCTTTAGTTTGTTTGGCTAATTGGACCACTGCATGCTCCTTCCAGAATAAGGTGGTGTCATGGGGGAAATCTTTTATTTCTTTGATTTGATGTCTTAATTCTGCAGTTTTTGTAGTGCTGTAGATCAGAGAGTCCACATTTGACAGAACAAATAAACTCTATTTAGGTTAAGCAGCATTTTAGATTTCTCCAACTGTCAAGAAAATGGGTACATGGTTATACTAGTATGTTCTGGATGGCACTCTGTTGCCATCTACTGGTATGGAAGTGTAAGGGATTGCACATAATTTTGATCTAATATCAAATTAATCTTCTGTCAAACTGCTAATAATCTGGTGGATATTAATTATTATGAAGAATCATCATTGTTTCTTTATATGATGATCTGTGTAAATATACCATGTGTTTTCAAGTTTGTGTGTTTTGGGATGACAAAAGAGAATTATGTGACTTGATTATGCACATGTAAGTAATTCTCACCTGTAATGATGTTTCTGTTTGAAACGTTTGCTCTGATGATAACATTTATACCACTGAAGTAAGACAGCTAATTGAAACCAAGTTGGAGACATGCTACAAGACTTTCAACAAAATTTCTTCATTTTTAAGGACACCCTAACCCTTGTCAAGATCTTCCAGTATGAAAAATATATATATAAAAAAGTTACTCTTATGTACAGTGAAGTGCAATGAAGCAAAGTGATTCTTCAGTATTAAACCCAAACAATGAGGTAAAAATGCAAGCAAACCAAAGAACAAAGTTTCTTTTTCAGTTGCTGTTTTTATTTGAGTCTAGGAAGGGAAACGAACATACCTTCAGAAAGTATCAGGCATACGAGTGATGGATGTTATATGGGAGGTACATACTACAGCCACTGTAGTGCATGTTTATCTGTGGATGTGTGGACATATTTGCATATGTAAATAAGAGCACTTCTTTTACTTACACACTTCCTGCTTACTTCAATAGCATGAATGACAGCTGTCCCACTCCCCTCGTCTAACCCCCAATGCATCGGGCCAGGACTAACATCTCTGAACACCCCATGCCCTTTAACCTCTGACCCAGCAGCTTCAAGGGGGACACAGTGGGCGGCGCTCTGTAACCGCTTTGTCTCATTTACAGACCATGCTTTTGAGAAGGAGCTGGAAACGATCTTGTAAGGTAAACTGAAAAAGCATGTGACCTCCCCACCCACAAACGTCCAACTGTACTGTACCCCCACTACCGACCGCATTGCCCCTCACTTCTCCTCTCCACTCTTGTGGTTGATACATGGATGGAGTCTCACTGGGTCTCTCCCTTCCTCCTTTTTCTCCTTCCATTGTGTTATTAGCAGTTTTTTTTTAATCAGTTCTTTAGTTCTCATTGTCACCAGCTTATTTTCCACAAGCTGCAATATACCATCTGCTATCTACATCACCAAGGATGTAAACACTTTGACATGCAAGTATGATTAAACCTAAAGGTGAACTTTATTTACATTGGTGAAATCAGGTCTTATACTCCAAGGGTGGAAATATTGCAGTACAATTACTGCCAGTATTATTTGGGATGTTTTATTTCACTTTTTGGTTTGAAACATTTTTAGTATATTTGAGAATATCTGTAATAAGTATTGATTTCAAATTGGCTGTCCACCGTGTTACACTACAAAGTGGAAACATTGGAGCCAGTGATGAAGCCTGTCATTAAAAGGCATATCTGCAGTGTAATGTGACTTCACTATCTATATATCAGAATTCATTAATCTTTTTTACTTGGTCCTTTTCAGCTTTTTAAATTCTGCAGTGCTTCTGCTCAACCCAAACTAAGAAAGCGTTCATCATTCTTCCACCTTTGAACTGCACAGTGTATTGCAGCTACTGTGTGAGAAAATAAAGCAAATGATTTTTGTTTTTAGGGGTTATAAAGGAGTCCTGTACAGCAAATCAACTGTGAAATAAGAAAGCTTGCTGATTTGTGACTGTGTTGGGACACTCTTAGACCCCTTTACATCAAGTGGGAAATCTTTGATGTTCACATTGGTTTGAGTTCTCATCTTACCATACATAAAACACTGCTGCCTTTTGGTGTCATTTATCTTGTGGTTCTTGTTAGCTGTCAGGCTGAACAGAAAGCATGCTGGTCAAGGTTTGGCGGCTTCTTACTGGCTTATGCATGAAACATTTACTACATCTCTTAAAATCTAATTCAGCAATTTTAGCATCAGGGATGATTTTGTGCGCACAAGTGGCTTTATTAGCAGTTTTTTTCTCATGTTTTAAGATATCTTGTGGCATGCTGTTAGGTATCTTTTTCTATTTTGGTCCAACGTTGTCATTGAGAAGTAAAGTCGCTGATGCTGGAAACTTGGTTTTACTTTTAGTTGATTTCATAAATCGCACTTGGAGGTACTGAATGATTCTTTAATAGGAAAACGTTTATCCACCACGAGACACAGATACACATTTGAAATGTGCTTGGTTGGAGCTGTGCAGACGTCCCACTGTATCGAGTTTCCCTAGACCAAGCCTTTGAAGCTTCCAAACGAGGCCACCCTGCCTGTGTCTCAGGAACTCACTCAAACGGTAGCTAACTAGGTACTCTGCTGCCCCTCCAAAAAGTACTGCTACTGAATGCTCCTCTGCCTCCATGCGCAACCCACAGTAGAGGGTACAAACTATTCAAATTGAGATAATTTGTGTGAGAGGCATATTAAATCCAGGTCTAACTTTAACAAGGATGCAAAATACTAATTTTAGCACTTGAAGCATTTACCTTCCTCCAAAGGGCAGACAAAAGTTGAACCATGTGCAAGGCTAAATTAGTTATTAAACTTCATGTTAGTATTTGTTGCAAGGCTTTCTGTATGAAACATATTTCCTGATGTGCTCTGGCAGAGGGATGTGGATTCCCAATTCAGATAGCCCATGATTTTCTCTAGCAACAATTATGTAGCAACAAAACAAACAGTTAGCACTTTGCCTCAAGTACTGTAGCACATAACAATGACCTTTCATCAATGTTAGCAGCAAGTGAACAGGGGGAATGAAAGATGGAGTTTCTGTATTGGAGGTTGGCTGTTTTGGAGGGAGCCATATGCATTGTTTAATGTCTGGAGAATGGAAATTAAGAGGCTCAGTTTCGAGATCAAAGGCCTGTGCTCGCGAGGCAGGGTTTGCTGAGAGTTTAATGAAATTCACCCACAAAACAAAAGCTATGCTAATAAATTCTCCCTAACGAGGAAGGAGGAGAGAGAAAGACAGAGAGTGAGAGCGGGGTGTGTTTGTTTGACAAATAAATACCCTACTCTTTGTTTTAGAGAGGGATACTGTTATAATTCAAAGAGAGGTTAAATAGGCCTGCTGAGAAAACTGTCGGAGGGAAAAACTGAACTAAAATATGGATAATTATCAATCTTACACTACAGCCAGATGGGAGGAAAACTTTTTTTGAGATACACTTCCACTACATGTCAGTGGTCTGCCCGTTTTGGATAAGAGAACCTTTAAATCATCCTCTCCTTTATTATTAATTATGTTTATGTACTAAAACTGATGTAATGACATACATTCATGCTCAAATCGTAAGCTGGTTTGTTTATTCTATATCCTCTGTAGACACTCGGAATGGATAGAAGGACGTTATTGGTTAGAAATTATTGTTCATTTCGCAGCAGAGGTGCATAAAATGTTACCAATTCTCAGTGTTTCTAAGCACTGCCAAGATATTGTTTAGGAATGTTGACTGTCACTGACTGAACAGTGGCATTCCCTGTTTTTTAACTTAGAGATGTTCTGTCATGTCAGATGAGCTCACACCTCAAAGATAAATGGTATTGTCATTTTGTGTTTGTGTTATTGTGTGCGTGTTTTGCCTTCTCCTCTTTGTGTTTTCTTGATGTTTGGTAATTTTTTCGTTGACAAAGTGTCAAAGCCATAAATCTATCATGGGGATAATTAATGCCTCTGCCTCTGTATGTGATCTTATTTTGTACTGTGTTTTTTTTTTTACCTGCTTGTGTTTGGATAAATGCATGTTTGTGTGTGTGCGTGTATGTGTGTGTGTGTGTGTGTGTGTGCGTGTGTGCGTGCGCACATGTGTGTGTGCTTGCTGCAGTACCAGAGCATGCGTCTGTCAGAAGTGCACAAAAAAGCCCAGCTGTGGCGAGGTATAGTGAGCATCAGTCTGATAGAAGGTCATGGCCTGAAGCCCATGGATGCCAACGGCCTCAGCGACCCTTATGTCAAATTCAAAATGGGCTACCAGAAGTACAAGAGCAAGGTAAACGCATACCTTTCATTTCACTGTTACTGCTATATAATTTTGAATTAGGTGAACAATACTCAAGAGCTTAAATCTTCCACTATACATTTATAAACACAAATGTCTTTGTGGATTAAAAAAAGTTATTCATAAATGTACCAACAGGCCAAGTGTGATCTTTGTGTGAATATTCACCAAATTAATCCTTTTTTTTGTCTCCTACTCAGACAATTCCCAAAACGCTGAACCCCCAGTGGAGAGAACAGTTTGATTTCCACCTGTATGATGAGAACGGAGGCTATGTGGACATAACAGTCTGGGACAAAGATGCTGGCAAGAAGGACGACTTCATGGGAAGGTGCAACGGGCTTCTTGGTTATGTAGCTGTCTTGGTCTTTGTCAGAGTGTATAGGTAGAAGCTTACCAACACTACCCATATGCGTGCACTATAAGGCTGCACTATGACAGTACTGTCCATCACTTTAGTCCAAAACGGCTATTTCTGGGGGCTGTACTGATTTTCTCTCTTTTTAAACTTCTGTTACATGTCCAGCACAAATGATACTTTACAGAATATAGCATTTCTGCTAAATTTAAACCTGGATAAATACTGAGCTTGCTTACTTAATGGTACTGTTTGTGTCAGCTTTGGCTGTCTGCAGTTGCCGCAGTCCTCCACACGTGACACTTGCGTGTGTACTAATACTGACTGTTGTACTTGCTGTGCTCCGATGCAACGTGATGCACTGTATGAAGTGTAGTGATGAGGTGATAACTCAGAAATGGAGTAGACACTGTATTCCTAAAGGGAAATTAGAGATCTCTTTTTATGATTTCTTTAACTTGACAAACGTATGGTGATAATTATTACTTTACAAATTTCCTGCACATTTTAGCTCCAAAAGCAGTTAAACCAGTGTTTCTATAAGTTTAGCCCTCATTGTCTTCTGTACTATAGCTTCCTTTTTGCTCTTAGCCTGTTTTAGCCTTGTCTCAAAATGTACAGTACTCTGTACTATTTCTGTTTATTTGTGTGTGTGTGTGTGTGTGTGTGTGTGTGCGCGCGCGCACTTTAGGTGTACCATTGACCTGTCGCTTCTCAGTAAAGAACACACACACAAGCTGGACCTGCCACTGGAGGAGGGTGAAGGTGTGCTGGTGCTGTTGGTTACACTCACTGCTTCTGCCGCTGTTTCCATCTCAGACCTGTCAGTCAACATGCTGGACGACCCGCATGAGACGCACCAAATCATGCAGAGATATGTGAGTTGGCCTTATTGTGGTGTGTGCATGTGTGAGTTTAGGAATTATGACAGAATTATGCTGTTGAATTCTTTTGAGATGAAAGTTCACAATGTGTGCTAGCTCAGCTTAAAGACTGACATGTCCACAAGCTTCATGGTTTTTCTTCACAAACGGCTCAAACAATTTTCAAACAGGCAACCCCTGAATTAATGTTTGCCGATGTACCTGGTACTGTTTTTTTTCCTTGTGTTGCTGTGTGTGACATGTGTTGACATGTCCAAGTTGCAAAGACAAAGAAATGTATTGTTTCTTTTGTGTTATGAGTCAGACTGATGTGTCAAACAACAACTCCCTCCTCTTCCCTCAACAACTCTTTATCATCAGATTTTTGATTGTTACAAAGTCACAATTTATTCACAGTTTACGAAGAATCTCAATTATTCATCGAGAAGAGTTTTTTCACAGGCAAATGCGGTGCGCTCTGACAAAATTCACCAGGCTGCAGCTGTGGTTTAAAGTTAGAAGTATTGGACATCAGGTGAACAGGAGATGCACGGTAAAGGATGGAAGAAGCACTTGGGTTGAGAGATCAGGGAAGGAGATGAGAAATCACATGTTTCTTACAAACAGAACTGTTTGGAAATGATGCAGCTTCTCTTCGCTGTCCTGTTTCTGTTACTATGATGAGTATTGTGTGGCATTTGCATCAGCATCCTGCAGTGATTTGTGTGTTTTGTGCATTTATGATTAATGCATGTGGGCTCATTTATTTCAGTGTAAATGTCTTTGTCTGTTAGCCAGTTGTCATTGATCTGAGCTTAGTATTTGAGAAAGAGATGAGAGAGAAGAGTGAGAGAGCCCTAAGGACCCATCTGCTCCAGAGGCCCTCCACTCAACATAATGGTTTCAGCCTATGTCTTTGTCTTAGCCTAGTTAACCCTTCACACCCTGTCATCCCCACTCCTTGTTACAAAGGCACACACACACACACACACAACTCGACACACGCTCACACACTTTGAATAGATTTCATCCATTGACAGCCTTGACACAGGACATTTCTCTGCACATCAACACAATGTTGTGTGGTATGGCTCAGTGCTGTTAGACTCGCTTTAATAGAGAATATGAGATAGTTGTTCACTTAATGTTTTTGATTTGAGACTTAATAATAAACGATACCAATTGCCGTAGTTATGTGTGCTTTTGTGCACGGATATAGTGCGCGTGAGTTCTTGTACTGTACTGTATGTTTGTCTTTTGGTGTGTGGATAAGCACCAGCAGTGAGGCTCCACAGGCCAAACACGGGTACTATGACCTATATAACCACGGCGGTGCCTTATTGGTTAGCCACAGGAGGTTGACCACTCTTCTCCATGCTGCAGCAACCATCTGAGATCAGAGAGGGGAGCTCTAGGACTGAGACACGCTCGCTGTGCCTCTCCTCTCAGTCACAAAACAAGGGTGGGGAGCATGAGTGTATGTGTGCGTGTTTGTGTATGTAATAGGGGGCGAGAGGTAAAGGGTGAGGGTTGCACCAGGAAGGGAGGGCGTGTAAAATGAAAAGAAAAAGCTATTTCACCTCTCTCACAACTCACGCAGACCCCTGTTTTTCTGCTCGGCTGAAGGTGAGACATTTCCCTTCCTTCGCCTACCTCTTTTCCTGCCTCCTCCTCTCTCTAACACTCCCCATCTCCATCCCACTTTCCCGGCTGCCTCGGCTCTTTGTCTGTCGCCACGGTGGCCTTCCTGTTAGATGAAGGGATGGAGAGATGGACGGTGAAGTAAGGTGGGGGGGGTTGCAGATGGAGGGGCACGGTGAGGTCGGTTTGAATACTTGAATGGTCTTTACCTATTAACGTATCCCTTTTCCTCAGACTGTCCATCTTTCTGCTGGAGAATTCAGTAAAGATGTACCTTATCAAAGAGCACTGACCAGACCAAGTACCCCCACTAATGCATAAGAGTGTTGCTCAAAGCCCACTAATCTACCCAGTGTGCATGCATGTGTGTGTAGGTGTATGTTATTATGCTTGGGCCCAATTTGACCGACTAGTATTATTAGTTTGAAATCAGCTGTCCAGCACAAACCTTCACAAAGCATCCACTGCTGCTAATCACAAACGGGCACACATATACAGACAAGATGCACAAACAATGCCTCTCTGTGTCAGCTATCTTTAAAATAAAAAGATGGGGAGTTGGTGGAGAAATACAAGTATAGTGCTTTCATCATCACAGCTTTGAAGAGTAGATACCTTCACAAATGAAGACAAGGAATGGGGAACATTCTGAACCGTCTGCCTCTCCCAGCCTTGAGCTACGTGGGCCCCCTTGCTCATCACAAAAACACACATGGACAGTACTTTAAGACGGTGTGTAGCAGTTGATTGTAATGAATATTGAATATTGTAAAAAAAAAAAAACAAACACACACACACATGAAGACATGACAGATTTTGGATCCTTAAAATGTCCTTGACCCTTTGTCACACATACAGACACCACACCTCATTTGGTCACAGCGAGGTCACTCCACTGTGTTTAGCAGGTGTTTTTTGCTCATCTCAGTTTGTGAAACCTGAATAAAACAGATAGTGGACACTGTTGGTGGATAGTGGAGTGCTGTTAATGCCTTACTAATTCTAGCTAGTTCTGCACTGAGGTAGGTGGCTTTCGCTGTGTTCATACTCTGTGTGTATGTTTGCCAGGTACAGTATGCACGTTCCTCTGTACACATGCTGGTTATGTGAAATGTGCATGAGTTTCTGCTGCAAACTACTTGGAATGCAGTTGGTGGCAGAGCTATATGCAACACGGTGCAATACACTGACAACTACCTTAGATGTACTATTACTCACTGTAACCTTTCCTTCATCCCTAATTACTGTTTCCCAGAAGTAGTGAGAAAGACAGAGGGAAAGAAGGGAAAGGAGAAGAGATTTATGCATTATGATGGCATAGGAGCGCACACGCTAATGGCTTTTAATGGGCCTGAGGTGCCCACAAGATAGGAGAATGTGGTCACCTCTGTTGAAGTGGTGGCACTTCACCACCCACACCCACATACTGTACTGTAGTGTGCACACACCCGCCTTATTGTACCTCACCCAGCCTCTCAGGTGCACTGGTCTAAGGTGAAGAGAAAGGACACAACCTGGAGAGGAAGTGCTGGAAGGGCAAAGAGCAAACTCTGAATCAGACTCCTGACAGACAGTGATCTTGAGCTGATGAACAGAAGTGGGAATTGGAGGAAATTTGCAGCATTTGGTTTCTGTTTGAGCATTCAAAGGCATTTGATCACATGTCCCCTGAACTGAACGGCTGCTGGGCAGATGCTCTGTCTGTGTGTGAAATGTTATTTGCGGTGCTGATGAAAGGTGACACAATAAAGAGATGACAGCGAGACATAAGCCTATGCAGGCGCTGATTCATTTGTGTGTTTGTGTAAGTGGAGTGCGACAGAGATGGGAAAAAGATGTCACAGTGACAAGATGTCAATCACAGGCAGAGTGGGGGTTTGTCTTATGAAAGCCACCTCTGTCCTTCTGTTTTTCTCTTCTCTGTTCATCCCTCCTTTTCATCTCTTCACCATCGTTCCACCTGCGTTCTTAAGGGGGGCCGGGGAGATGATGCAGACTGGTTTTGGCCTCCCTTCATCTTTCTTTCCCTCTAACCTGTCAGTCTGTCTGTCCTGTCCATCTATTGCTGTCTGTCTTTCTGACAATGTGAATCCTTGTGGAGGATGGGTTTGTTCTTTCTACCAATCATGGATGGAGGCTGAACCCTGAACGTTCCCTCAGGGAGCCAGTATGGTGGGAGGAAGGGACGCAGACTGGACAACTGGTTAGGGAGCGAAACCCTCTCTCTGCATACATAGATGAAGGAAACACTGCAGTTTCATTCGTTTTCTGTCATTTTTGTGTATCTTTTGTGTGGTATTGTCTGGCATATTACTGCTTGTGTGACACCTGTATTTTTTTGAAACTGTACTTTAAGGAATATAAACATGTTTTTGTGTAAGAACCTTTTTTTAATAACCAAAGCATAACTTCCCAAACATTTAAAGTCAATACAAAGCAGCAACAAAAAAAATGGTTGGTGAAATGTTTAGATAAAACAAGTAGTAAAGTAAAAATAAGTATAAATAAATGTACTTAAATAGAGCAAATAAAAAAAGACAAATCTCACCAATAATGCACAATCTAAATTGTTTCAATTGTTATGTATGACCATATCTGAATCAGTAATAAATAACAGGATTTTGAATCAGGCCAGTTTTTGGTTACAACTTTGATAGTCAGGGCCACAGACCCACTTTGGTCAGTACAAAAAAAGTACTGACATTTCCATCTCCAGCCTTACAGCTGTCATCATGCTGTTTAACGCTAACACACTAACTAGTCAGCCTTTAATTTGCCCTAATCTCTCCCTTGGTTGCCTCCCTCATGCCCTCTCTCTGACTCTCTTCCTCCCTCAGTCTCCTTTCTTGGCTGCTCCCCAGTAATCACAACAAGCAGCTGTATCTTCAGAGAAATCATGCCTTAAAATTGAGAGTTGTTCCCTCTCTCCCTCTCTTTGTATATCTCTTTTTCTCTCACTCTTTTCCCCTTCTCTCTTTCTTTCACACGCTCTCCCCTCTCATCTTCTTTAGAGAGCTTTTGGACAATGATATCGCTGGAAACAGGCAGAGTCTGACAGAGTTGGTAATAATGAATTAAGTCTGTAGCCTGGCCCTGACTCTGAAATTTAAATTATAATTACTCCTGTGGGGATGGAAGGGGTTATTGCCAGAGAGAGAGAAATAAATTGAAGTGAAGTGCATTTCCACTCTGCTTTTAAGATACGCCGACATGCTACTCAATTTGGCCTCAGTGTAGGTTTTCTATGCATGTGTTTATACCTGTGTCTTTGGGTGGGAACAAAAGTGCGAGTTTATGATTGTGTGTGTGTGTGTGTGTGTGTGTGTGTGTGTGTGTGTGTGTGTGTTTGTTAGTGTCTGCCCATACATCCTGGCTGAGCCGCTGATCTAAACAGGTCTCTTTATATGACAGATTTACAAACTAGGCTTTACACATCATCCCTGTTCTCCTGGTTATTTAAACCTTAGGCATCCGGTATTTCTCTTGTCATTTTAGCCAATCACAGGACATAATTCATCCCTCTACTGTCTATGTAAATGTAAGTTTATTTGGTGTAAACTTGCAAGAGGAGAAAAGTATTGAGGGAGTCTGTCCAGACTTTGTCTGACTGTTCTTGTCTTACAGTTGTTTTTCCCCTCTCTTTTGTGTGGTTGATGGGTATACTGGGGTGGTGTTGGAGGTCAGTGAGTGTGTGTGCTTTATAACTATGATATCACTGCCAGCTACGCTTCACTGGATGCATCTACTCAACACAGTTGCTCTATTATCATATCGTCAGCCTGACACGCTCTCTCTCTTTAAAACAAACACGGATACATTAATACCAGTAATTTCTTGCACCTTTTTGGTTGTA